ATTCTTGAGGATAATAGCCCCATTTCATCATGTGTTGAATATCATAGTAAGAAAATACACTGCACAGCTCGGCAATTCTATGATCATTTTAGGAGAGATGAAATCGTGGCCCGGAGCTTTCTTTTGCTTTGAGATTTGGTCTTTAATGACCCTTGTGACTTCTCCTGATTGGAATATGATAGGCGGAGTAGCTTCGGGATTGTTGGTTGGTGGGAGCACTAAGCTATTCGTTGCTGGGTGCGGTTTGAAGACGTTTTCTAGATGGACGGCAAATGTATTTGCCTTCTCTTTGTTGCTGCGAGCCCACTCTCCTGTTTGTGTACGCAAAGGTGATTCACTCTCGATTGGTGGGCATACGCCTGATTTTGCTTTCCACAGTGGGAATCGTTTGCTAGTTGGGGAGAGTTGCTCCATATAGGATATTTGAGCTCGGTTTTTTTCATCTTCTAGGGCTCTGCGTAGTAGGTGGTTGGCTATTTTTAGCCGCTCTTTCGATGCAGGTGATCTGTGTGCTTGCCACTCTCGGCGAAGCCTTCTTTTATCGCGTAGCAGCACTTCAATGTGCCTAGAAATACGACTGCTGTTGGAATGTTTATTAGATGCTAATATTGGTGTTGAGTGTTTTGCCGCCAGTGACATTGAGGAAACCAATGCTTCGACTGACCTATCAATGTCATCTTTACAATTAATGTTTGGGCAGCTATCAATATGAGAGCTTATGTACTGTATTTGAGCCAATCTGTTTTGCTAGAAGTTAGAAAGTGTGGGCGTTCCGAATGCTGTGGATGGTCGTAAAGGTGAAGTAGAATGGGCGAGTGATCCGATGATAGATCTGTTAAGTGATCTACATTAATCTGAGCTTGCAGCACCCTTCGTGTAACTGCAAAATCAATCAAGTCGGGTTGCTTGTTTGGATCTGTGGGCCAATATGTGGGCTTGCCCGGAGAGATAAAGTCTAGCTTGTTTTGGGGGGTTATTATAGCGTTATATAGTTGTCTTCCTTTCGGGTTGGTAAGTCTAGATCCCCAATGGGTGTGCTTGGCATTGTAGTCACCAGCTGCTATAAATCGGTAACCTAGTAGGTCGAAGAATGTTAAAAATTCTGTTTCGGAAATGCAGAAACGTGGTGGGCAGTATACTGCGGCTAGGTTTAGGTAGCCGCTCTGAATTTCAATATGAATTGCTGTTGCCTGTAGATAAGGTGTAGCAAATGAAGGCAATGGATAATGCCTAATGCGATTCTTGATCAGAACGCCAGTACCTCCATGTGCCTTACCATCGGGATGATTTGTCGCATAGAAGTTATAGCCATCGAGGTGAAAATAGTTTTTATTTGTTAGGTGAGTCTCTGATATGAGCATGGCGTCAATGTCGTGTTGAGCGAGGAACTGTAAGAGCTCGCATTTGTGCTGAGAAATGCCATTTGCATTCCAGAAACATATATTTAGACAGGACATTTAAACAGATTTCTGTTTGATTAGGAGCTCCAGGAGGAGATTTTGGTTGCGCATAAGCTCCTGCATCGTTTGTTGTATTGCTACCATTGTATTTGTTATAGTTACCAGCATTGACTCAATTCCACTAGGCAATTGGGATGGATTAGCTGGGGTATGTTGGGCAGAGATTTCTGGGATCTGATTTGATGCCTGATTCTGCATTATCCAGCTGTGGTTGGTTGAAGTGTCGGCTTAGAGACTGAGGCGTACGACCCGTTGTTGTAACTTAACGCCTGAGCAAAAGAAACTCCTGGAGTCGTAGTTGATGGTATATATGTTAAGTTTTGTCGGACGACCGGGTTACGAGCTGCAGTTATTTGTTGGTTTAGGCGATTTTTCAATTCTTTATAGACAGGACAACCTCTATAGTTGGCAGTATGGTTTCCCCCACAGTTGCTACATTTTTTGGCAGATGGGTCCTCCTTATTTACGGGGCAGGCCTCAGTGAGATGAACATCACCACAGGCAACGCAGACTGCCCGTAGAGTGCAATAGGTTTTCGTGTGTCCATATTCCTGGCAATTTGTACATTGGACCGGTCCATTTCGTTTGTGTGGTTCCTCAACGGTGATCCTACGGTGCAGTAGGTATTGAAGCTTGTATATTGGGTGAACTTCATTTTTACTTATATGCATACTTTCAGGTGTCAGTTCTACTTTGAACATTGGCTGGGGAATTTTGTTTCTATTTATTATGTTCATTGCCATTTTGACTTCGAAGCCCTTATCGTTAAGTCCATCTATTATCTCATTGATTGGGACTGTTGGTTCGATTCCTTTGATAACCACTTGTAATCCTTTGCTACTTTTAAGTTGGTAGGTGTAGTAATTCATTTTTTCATTTTCGAGGTATTTCGCAACTGATCGATAGTTTTGTTCGTCATTGACTTGTATTTTTGTTTCATTTATATTACCCCTTTTTATGTACGTGACATAGAATGTGTTTGCGCCAATTGTATCAGTTATTTTTTTGACCAGTTCAGCACAATTTGCCTGTCGAACATAAATAGGTGGCGGTCTTAATTTTTTGGCCTTGGGTGTTTGGGTGATCTCATCTTCATTTGGGACACTTAGTATCGCAAATCTATTGTTTGCTAGTGCCTTATGTGGCACAGTGTTCTCGGTTATTTTAGTTATTTTAGCTGCATTGTTGTTCTTCACATTTTGTGGGCTCAATTTTCTTTTGATTTGCACATAGCGATCGAGCCCAGTCTGAATTAACGCTCCGTTAGCATTTTTTGAACTTATTGGTTGGGAGAGTTGGGGCTTGTCGCAGTGGGTCGACAGTATCGGGCGCTGAGCAATTGCAGTGGTTGTTGTTGTGGTTGTTGTCGTTGTTGTGGTCGAAGACACAGTTTTGAGCGAGGGCATTGTACTAGTTGTTGTCGATATTAGCAAATCGCTGGTTAGGCAGTACGAGTCGGGGGATGGGCACTGAGCACTCCATGACCCACTTTGCAATGCAGGGGAGAGAGCGTGCTCTCTCCTCGTTCACTTGCAGTGATGCAGTTTTTGTTGGTACTGCTGCCTTTGGCGAGCGTATAGAGAAGTACGCGTTGTTTTTTGCTTGCGAGAGCCGACGCTCGTCTTGTTGTTGTTGCCGGGCTTGGCTCATTTTGGCTTTGCTTACAGAGCTTGTGCTCTTTACCGAGCTGGTGCTCTTAAACGTTGACACTTGTTCTTTTCTATTATTTCTATTAGTCTTTATTACTCGATTGGATGGTATTCATGGGCAGCACGATCGCTAGTACCCATGCCTACCCCGAGCGCTTTTTTTTTTCGCGAATTTAATTTATGATTAATCGCGATTAATTGATTTAATTGATTTTCACCGCGGAGCGATACAAAAATACGTCTGTAGTCATTGACGGTTGATTATGATTTGATTTGTGACAAAGCCTTCTGGGATGGGCAGAGTTGTGAAAATCTCATGCGTCAGTTTATAAGTACAAGTAGGCCAGGATATTTACGTCATTATGCTGCTTGGCTGGAGAACGGAGAGTGTTGCCTCCTCTACAGAGTCCTGGATCCAGACCACAGACCGCTCGTACATTAGCCACGTATTAGCCACGTACAAGATGCCAGGAGATTGGATTACTTTATTGGTTAACTTCATGCTCTCATCAACGGCAGTCTACTTGTCTTGTCCTGCTTAGTCTGATCATCAGGATCAGAAAGATGTAAAGATCTCCCGACATTTTGTATGATTTATGTTTATGTTTATTCATTCATAATTACACGGGTGGAAATCCAGAAGAGAACAGAGAATCAACTATGATAAAAAAATTCTAAAACGTATAAAAATGGGAATGTGCTTCAATAATAATTATTGGCGGGCCCGCTGGCTTCGTATTATTTTGGGTAAGTTTACGAAGCAACCGCACCGCAGGGCTGTGGATTATGTTGACTTTGTTATTATTATTATTGTTATTATTATTATTATTACTATATATTTATCGATGTGTCCAAATTTGTTATATGCCTTTCCGTTCCTAAATATCTCTTTTCTATATTTTTTCTTTTTTTCTAAGCTCGTGGGTTCTGCTTTCTTTTTTCTCTCTCGCTCTCTCTGTCTTTTTCCTATACTTATAGTTCTCTCTCTTTCTTCCGTTCCACTCTTCCCTATGCTTATGTCTTTCTCTTTATGATCTGTTTCGTTGTGTTTTTTGCATTTCTTAGGGTTAGGGCTTTGTTTTTTTTGTTTTGTTTGTTTTTAATAAAAATATATGTAATGCATATGTTAACTTATTTCTTATATGTAAATAGATATTCGAACAATGTTTACGCATTTGTAAAAAAAATCATTAATACACCCACGGACACTGACAAGAACGGGGAAGGGAATCCATCGCTCCCATGCCATAATAAAAGGATGGTCAGGAGAAGGTACACAGGAGAGAGAGCAATAAAATGCAGAGTACACATTTACATATACATAATAGTAGTAATAATAATAGATATCAGCTACGATCGATCAGAGGCCAGGCACTATTGGATACGATCCAATTCTGTTTCGGTTTCTGTTTTTTGTAAGTGTGTGTGTGTGTGTGTATGTGTGTGTGTGAAAGGCACATTGCGATCTCTGAGCAGATCCGATTCAATAAATGACGGATATGCGGATCAGTCAGGCTAAAAGGGAACCCGTCAGTGAGTGAGCATGCTCCGGAATGGGTATGGGAATGGTGTACATACATTCTAGGCATATACATATATTGGGGAGTGGGGTGGACAAACGATGCATTAACATGTGGGCATGGCTTAGATGTCTTTACAAGATCTTTCGAGCAGGTGTTAGGGTGAGGAGGTTGGGTCGGGTCTAAGTACAGATGCCAAACTTAAAACTTTTAATACTAGAGCTTAATGCCGAAGCAATCGAATAGATCGATCGATGGATCGATCGTTGAATCGATGGATAGATGGATCGATGGCCATTGTCTGTGTGTGTGTGTGCTTTGGATGCACTTGCGTTGAGCTGGTATGTACCCACATCTATCAATGGATTCCGTTCTATGAGTGGTGTCGCGCGTTGCGCATGAGTGGGACCAGCAGGGAGGGCGGCCCCGCCTGGCGCAGGAATGGATGGGCCAGCAACTCGGCGGCGGTGGCCCGCTGAGCCGGGTCACGCACCAGCATCCGATCGAGGAACGATTGCAAACGTGGCGAGACCTTGTGGGCATTCTTAAGATTCGGTGGCTGCATGTCCCGGATGCGACGCATCGCCTGTAGCGGCGGTTCGTTGAAGAATGGTGGCTCGCCGTCCACCATTTCAATGACCATGATACCCAACGACCAGATGTCCACCTCGGGCCCATACGGCAGGCGTGAAATCACCTCCGGCGACATCCAGTAGGGTGTGCCAACCAACGATTTGCGTTTGGGCAGCTCCTGCGACACCTGGGCGCAGAATCCAAAGTCCGACAGCTTCACCCGTCCATCGGCGGCCAGTAGTATGGAGTCCGACTTGATGTCTCGATGGATCACACCCTACAGAGAGATAGAGAGAGAAAGAAAGAGAGAAGACAATCAGTTAAATGTGCTCACTCTTTGTGGTTTTCACCCACCATTCCCACACCCAGCCCCACTTGATGCGACCTTTCTGCCAGCCAGCCACTTATCGCATTACCAACAGCCACTGTGGGCCTGAAGCGCCGCTCACCTGTGCACAAATGATTCGTTCTCTACTCAGGAAGAACCCAAAGAACTTATCGTAGAGGCAGGGCAGGGCTGCGTTGGGCTGGACTGGTCTATTCTTCAGTTACGATTTCACTTTTGCTTGCTGCGCTTAGTTTCGGGTGCTCATTCCACTGCGCTGACGGACAATAACTTCGGTGACAACATTTAGAAATTGAAACCTAAGCGACGCGAAAGCGGAGGCCAAAGAAAGCGCTACAAATGGCAATGGCAGCAGCAGCAGCGACAGCGACAGGGCAAAAGAATCGAATGGAATGGAATGGAAGGGAAAGGAAAGGCGCAGCAAATACAGTAAAGAAAGCCCCCAATTGCAGGGGCAGTGGCAGGGTGGTTCCACAGACAATGGGGCGTCTGTCTGCATGCTGGTCACGCACCTGTGAGTGCAAATAGGCCAAAGCCTTCAAGCACTGCTTGCAGACAGTGGCAATCTGCTCCTCATCCATGCGCGAATGGGTGACAATGTCGGTGAGGGCGCCGCCCTCCAGATACTCCATAACAACCCAGAGCTCGTCGTTGACCAGAAAGCTGGAGTATGTCTCAACGATATTTGGATGATGGTAGTCCCGCATGATGACCACCTCGTTGAAGAGCAGCTCGCGTCGTTGCTGCTTGCGCAGGTCCATTTTCTTTACGGCCACCTGGCGACCTGCAAAGCAAAGCAAAAGAAAAAAACAAACAAATCACCAAATCCGTTTGGATGCAAGACTATCATGAAGAGGAGGAGGCGTTACACCCACCTGTGGACTTGTCGGTGGCTATGCAGACGGTGCCCGTAGATCCCTCGCCGATTTTGTTGAAATGATCAAGATTCTCGCGCGGATCGCCAGCGGAGACGACCATTTGGAGGGCGGCCCGAAATTGTTCGTGGGTCAGTCGCTGATCCTGCTTAGGCTGCTGCTGGGCGGACGCTTGAGAAGCGGCCAGGGTGGCACTGCTGGCCCCGCCGCTTGAGCTGGAGGCACGGGACGCCGACTTGGCATGGTTATGTGGATGTTGATGTGGGTGCGGATGCGTCTGGGCGTGGCTATGCAAGGGATTCTGATTCTGGTCGCCCACGCCCACGGACTTTGGCTGGTGCGCCTGTGAAGCGGGGGGATACAGTGGGAAGCCGGTACTGTTTCCGTTGTTCGTGTGTGAGTGGGTGGATCGCGTTCCGCTGGCCACCGAGCCCACAGGCGATGTCTGTTGCGGGATGGCGCCGCGGTCCGACGCCTCCCATGGTCGGTACTGCATATTCGCGCCCTGATCCGTTCGCCCACTTTGCAATGCAGGGGAGAGAGAGCGTGCTCTCTCCTCGTTCACTTGCAGTGATGCAGTTTTTGTTGGTACTGCTGCCTTTGGCGAGCGTATAAGAAGTACGCGTTGTTTTTTGCTTACGAGAGCCGACGCTCGTCTTGTTGTTGTTGCCGGGCTTGGCTCATTTTGGCTTTGCTTACAGAGCTTGTGCCTTTACCGAGCTGGTGCTCTTAAACGTTGACACTTGTTCTTTTCTATTATTTCTATTAGTCTTTATTACTCGATTGGATGGTATTCATGGGCAGCACGATCGCTAGTACCCATGCCTACCCCGAGCGCTTTTTTTTTTTCGCGAATTTAATTTATGATTAATCGCGATTAATTGATTTAATTGATTT